ACTGCCCATTTTCCTCCGTTAATGCAACAATTTGAATGAGCATGTTCCTGGTGGACATATCTGGTTATAGTATAAGAAAGAGATTGTTTTTTGAAAGAAGAAATGCTTTGAAAGCTGACAGCTCGCTAGCTGTAAAATGAGGAACAACTCTTCTATTCAGTTGAGCTTGAAGAAGTCATGGAGGAGGTATGTGAGGACCATGTCGTGTATGAATCTTATCATTGATATATCGTCACTTCGAAAGCCATTTTATCCTCCGAGACAGCTCCTCATCTGAATGATTCCACAGCTAAAGTCTGACTTATCATGATTTTAGTGGGAGGGAGTGGAGAAAAAGAGATTAAAGGAAAAGTACAGGATCAGGCTCACCTCTGCACACCTTGTATCCGTCATCCTGTGTAGCTGCAGCTGTCAGGAACAACAAAGTTCTTCTTTTTTTTGGACTTCTACAGTTTTGTAGTTTCACACTATCATGCACAAATGTTCCTTTTACTTTTTATATTCATGATTTTATTTTTATTATTTATTTTGTGTGTGTGTGTGTGTGTGTGTGTGTGTGTGTGTGTGTGTAGGATCGCACATATGTGTATAGCAAGGAGCTTGTCTCCTTTTTCTAGGTAGATCCTGGTAATGAGGGTCAAGTCACCCCAGGCTTTGTGTCCCGGGGTTCCTTTATCCAGTAAGTTATCTTGAGGGCCCTGAATCATTCCTACCACACAGTATTCCGTAAGTATGAGGAACCACGTGTAAAGATACACACCTATAATCCAGCACCTGAGGCTCCAAGAAAAGACTGCTAGTTTGAGGCCAAGCAGGGCTACTTGAAATCCTGTCTCAAGCACACAAAACTAAATGACAAAGCATATGTGGGAGAATAAGAGTAGACACGATATCATAGGGTGCTTCAGCTCACCTGCATGGTCTCCATGCTGCCATACATAGAATATGCCTTTTCTCGGTAGTATCATTAATACAGCCTTTTAGCTTGATTTTACTGTGTCCTACAGCTTATAAATGTTCAAGATGTATCAGCCTGCCTTCCCTCTATCTCTTTACTTCCCTTTGCTCTTACATGGGGTTTTCCCTTTAATCATCCACTTGGATGTTTAAGTTGAAACTTTTCTGAGATGTACTTAGGACACCCCTTGATGTCTATTGATGTTTTGCTCCTCCTCTGGTCTCTCAAGCAGTAGCCATTTTATGCTCTTACTTTTGGAAGAACAATGTTCTCTCTTATGTCAGCCTGCCCTGCAGAAAACAGATATTTTCATGGAGATCTCCCTATAGAATAGAATCCTCCCAAGGCTAATGCTGGCTGAGAAAGTTCGTTTGTGCACCCATGAAGATTCCCTGACCCCTGAGCTGCTTTGATCTATATTTTCTGATTGGGAAAGAGACAAAAAAATCAAATAGCATTTTGTTCAGACAAACTGTGTCTCAATGATGAAAATATGTGCTGACTGGAGGTTTACTCACATGTGAGCTTTGCCCTTTTCTGTTAAACAAAGGATCACAGGGAGGGAGATTGCCTTTTCTTTTTACTTCACCTGAATTTTATTCTCTTTGATGTGTTAGGATATAACATTTCATCAGCAAAATGGATGAGATGGCTTCCAAACCTCAATTTTGTTTGATTTGCTGAGAAACAAATATTTTCCAAACATAAAATACTTAGTTCATAAAGTCACCTTTCAAAAGGTAGAAGTCTACAGGCCTTAGGGAGATAAAATGTGGGTGGTCTTTGGTGGACACTACTCTTGCTTCATTATCTTGGGTCTCTATTTCTCATCACACCTAAAATGTATAATGTAATGTTATAATAGCAATATATTAGTGTCTTTCTCAATAAAATATTAACTAAGACTATAAGTCCTGTAAACCATGCAATGATTTTGAACAAAAAAAACTTTATTCTTGAAGACCGGTCAGGCTAGTAGCCAACTTCAGATGATGACACATCCTTAGACAAAAACATTACCTTAGAGTCTAATGACTGTTATCTTTCTTCTGTTTCTATTGTGTTCTGTTTGATATAGTGTACTGTTAAGTAGCACAGACTCACCTGGAATTCATGATCTTTCTTCCTAAACTTTTCAGATGCTGAGTAATAGTCATATATCACCAAGTTTTACCTAATAAAATGTTTCTTGAGTCACATAAATTAAATTACAATATCTTAATTTCTACACTTACACTGCCTATATGTCTGTCTATCTTTATTATCTATCTATCTATCCATCTATCTATCTATCTATCTATCTACCTATCTATACATCTACAATGTTCCTCTCCTTTGTAAAACTACATCACACTCTTGATTACTAACTATTCATTGCATAAGGTATTACGCTGTATCCAATAAATTAATTCTTTAATTACAGAGTCTAACATAATATTTGACATCAAAAAAGAAAACAAATGACTGAATTGTTCATAGTTCATGATTAAAATATACATTCTGGTCACATTTTATTAGTATTCTGCAATTCAGCAATTTTCTCATTCTTTTCTATCTTCTTTCACAATCTGAATACCTCTCACCCTTTTCTTGGGTTAGCACAGCCAAGACATCTTTGTTCTTGGTGTCAAGATAAAAAAGATTTACTTAGGTTATTTTTATTCTTGAATATTGAATATTAATATTTTATTATACTATTTTAGGACCAACTAGGTAGCTACTTCTGAAAATACTTTGTTAAGCATTTGATTTCATAAAATCATAAGTCAAACTGACATACAATACACATAATTATCTGCTTTAATACTCATTTTCTTTAAGGTTAAAAAGTTTGTCTCTTTCCATCCATGCTTTCTTATCTAAGGTTTTAGTTGTAGAAATTTATGGGTACTATGGTTACTATGATAATTTGATACCGATGTATAGTGCATAATCATTAAATCAGGGTGGTTTCCATTTCATTTTCTAAAACATTCTTTTTAAATTTTTGTTAATATACCATCATACTTGCTTGTAAGTATAATAATATTTCAATATACAACCTAATATGTCCTGATCAAAACAGAAATATTAATTTTTCATTATAGATTCTTATTAATATGTCAAGTAATTTTACTTTTGGGGAACAAATAAAAATACATTTTTTGCTTGAAGAAAAATTACACAGTGTTCTGTCAGCCATGAAGACTAAATAATCTCTTAAATGTTAATACATCTGTGACAAACAGAATGTCTACACTTATGAACAGTAATGTAAATAAAGAAAAGCTATAGGGAAATACATTACAAATTATGGAAAATTATCTCTTTATTAAAATCTTTAAATTCAAAAAATTCTATTGTAATAATGATACTTAGCTAACATCTGTAAGGCCAGGAAGCTGTTTCCCAATTATACACATTTTATAAATAATTACTTTTTTACTAAAATAAAAATACCAATACATGAAATAAAACTATTCTTTCTCCATGAAAGTCAAGTAAATAGTGTCCTCTGTAAATGCTGTTATTTTGGCCTTGTTTGAAACTGCATGAGATATATCATTATGGTATAATCATTATGGATGTAAATCTATTACCTAGAAGATGTTCATCTCATATAAATCTGAATGGAACTTCTAGACTTCAATACTCACACAGCCAACTTCTGAGAAAAATCAAATTAATTCCTAGAGACACCATAGAGGAGGCTGAATCAACTTTCTTCTTTGTGCTTGGGAAAGAATTGCCCAGGGCTCATGAAGAAGAGTTGTTTTCTAGTTTCTACTTAGAGCCCTTGAAATTTGTGATCCTTCGTTTGTCCTTGTACTTATAAGGGAGGACACAGCTTCCAGGTACAGAGAGAGATGAGATGCCACACAGTCACAGTGCAGTTGGAAACATGAACTACTGTAAACTCAAAGGATCTTCTCATCTTAGCCCCTTCTCACCCAATTTACACTCTGAAAATGGGACGAAAACCTTAGAGGCGTTTTCCCCAGGAGCTCATTCTTGAAGGACTTCTGTGCTTAAGTATCTCTGGTGAGCATGAACTGCCTCTTTAGACAGCCTGAAGGAACACTAGCTAGGCTGGCTGGGTCCACTGACTGTAATTTTCATTTCAGGCTAAGTGAGTGTACCCGTAAATTTAGAAACATTAACATGAGTGTAGGACGACATATATTTTCCATTAAAGAACTCCAAATCTGAAAGCCCAGCTGTCAATATTTAGCTCAAGCTCTATAAAATGATAGTTTATACTTATTATGATAAGCCAAGCTATCCTATGGCACTTTTGTTCATTATGGCTGTCTTTGTTATGTTCTTTACAGCTTTATAGTTAAGTGACTTAATTTCATGGGTTTCTGGACATTCTTCAGCTGATTAGTTGACAGGAATTAGAGTCCAAAATAGTGCATTAATTTTAGCACACCCCTTTCCAAATACAATCAGCTTAAGTGAGTTGTAACCTACTGCTACAACCCGTAGTGAAGAAGGGGAGTGGGACTGAGGTTCTCAGTATTCATTTGTTAGTATGTTAATCAGGAACCTTGGCTCATCACACTGGCAGCCTACTTTATGTTGAATTTCTATCACATCATGAGTTTCTTTTTTCTAAAATTTAATAACACTTGAAAGAATAATTGAGTTATTTTTAGAAAGGCATTAATTGGTAATGTCCTGATATTAAAGGATGTGTTTAGAAACTAAAAATCATGGGGTCTTATGATTTCTTTGTGTAGTAGAAAGTAGCCATGTAAATCAAGTTCATTGCACTCAATGTTCTATTAAGGACTTAATCATGGGATTGTTTTCCCTGTACAGCTGTGCATTCAAAGTGCTTATGTGGAACGAAGAATGCAGCTCGGTGGTAGAGCACTTGCCTACCATATGTGAGGGCCTAGGTTTTGAGTGTCCATCAAATAAAGAAAACAGTCACCAAATAAACATCACCAAATAAATAAATCTATAAGTAGTTATGGTTATTAAGGTGGTACGTTGTGATCTTAGGTTTTCTACAGATAATCCGTTTGCTTATGACAGTTTCTTATTTGCTTTCCAGAATTTTTCCGCGAGCTGCTGGAAAACGCAGAGAAGTCCCTAAATGACATGTTTGTCCGGACCTATGGGATGCTGTATATGCAGAATTCGGAGGTATTCCAGGACCTCTTCACTGAGCTAAAGAGGTACTACACAGGAGGTAACGTCAACCTGGAGGAGATGCTCAATGACTTCTGGGCTCGGCTCTTGGAACGGATGTTCCAGCTGATAAACCCCCAGTATCACTTCAGCGAGGACTACCTGGAATGTGTAAGCAAGTACACAGACCAGCTGAAGCCATTTGGAGATGTGCCACGGAAACTGAAGATTCAGGTCACCCGTGCTTTCATTGCGGCTCGCACCTTCGTCCAGGGCCTGACAGTGGGCAGAGAAGTTGCCAACCGAGTTTCCAAGGTAACTTAGAGTATGCTGTCTCTCTACTTGATCTTCCTCTTTTCCTTAAAAAAAAAAATAAAAGGTTTATAAAACAAATTAAGGCAAAAATTCTCATTCCCAGTGGGCTCTGTTCTTAAAGGCGTTAGGTGCACGCCCAAGCTTAATTCTGATTTTTCTCCTTTTTAAAAGAAAAGGAATTTCAAGCCATTCCATATGGTTTCACAATTAATGTAAATATTTGTCATCAATGTAGGTGAGTTTTCATGGGTGATACTGTTTAAGCAAGGTGACTTACAACTAGTATCTCCACATCAACGTTTAGGGGATGATAAATAGTTTCAGAATGTGCCACTCCCATAAACAAAAAACACATTCTCCAAAGATGCTGAAAGTAGAGGCAGGATAGGGGCACTTGCCATCTCTTCTTTATCAGTGTGACAGGGCTCCTTGATGGTAAAAATGGAGCCCTTGCATGGCACCTGTGGCGGCAAAGAACATTAGGAGGACTAACGGATACAAAGTGTAGGTTCTGTCCCGACGTCCTTTGGGTCATCTGTTATCTTTGTAATTCCATACCGTGTGTCATGTTGAACTTATGAAAAAGATAAATCACTAATCCACTTTGGGGCCTTGCCTTGAGGATAATGTCTGTAAACCTTTAATGCAGGAGAACCATCCTCCTGGGCTATTGGCGTTCCGCATTGAACGCTTCCTGAGTGTCTGCTTGTGTTTAAGCCCTGCCTTGACATTTAACCGCTCTTATGAGGTGGGCCTGTCCGTTTATGAGGTCAGCCCTACAAACAGCTTAAAAGATGATTTATATAAGAAGTAAAGAGGAAACAATATATAAAAGAAGGTTGGTATTATGTCTCTTAAAGAAGGTCATATTTGTACAGAAATTATTGCCAAACAGTATTTTTTATTATTGCAGGTTTGTGGCCAAAAGCCATAGAGGTTTTTTTGTTTTGGTTTGGTTTTTATTTTAATACTTCACAGAAATATATTTGTTGTTGCTCCCCTTCCTTTTTTATCATTCCTTCCTTCTTTCCTTCCTTTCTTTTTTCTTTCAAAGATTTATTTATTAGATATAAGTGTTCTGCCTGCATGTACACCTTCAAGGCAAGAAGAGGGCCCAAGATTCCCTTATAGATGGTTATGAGCCACCTCATGGTGGCTAGGAATTGAACTCAGTACCTCTGGACGTCCATCCAAGGCTTTTAACCTCTCAGCCATCTCTACAGTCCCTTCCTTCCTTCCTTCCTTCCTTCCTTCCTTCCTTCCTTCCTTCCTTTCCTTCTTTCTTTCTTTCTTTCTTTCTTTCTTTCTTTCTTTCTTTCTGCTTTCTCTCTTTTTATCTCATTATTTACATTTTGGCTTAAAGACAGTATAGTCTACATTCTTAACAATATTTTTCTATGGAATGACTTGTAAAATTCCGAGCAATCACTTTTTATAAAATTATCAGTTTCTAAAATGTTACAGCATATGGAAACATTTTTTAAAAAATGCTTTTAAAGTGACTTTTTACAAGGAGTGCAATGATATAAAAGGTCATGTAGCAAGGATGTTTAATGCAGTTTTTATTGGATATCAACAATATTTGACCTATTGAAGGAACAAGTTCCTTAGATGTGGTTTAATAGGAAGGCAGTCAAGCAGGATTCCAAGAGGATGTGTTATGATCTGTTAAATATAAGGAAGTATGTAAAAAAAAAAGGATATTCTATATGCCCTACCAAAATACATCTTGCTTTAAAAAATAATTTTAATTAAATTATTATCCAGTACATCAAGGTAAAATACAGTCACTGAGACTATCAACCTTGTTGAAGTTTGAAGTGTACATATGAAGTATGAGGTAACAATCATGGATCAGTGTGTACACTCAGTGTGTGCGCTCAGTGTGTGCACTCAGTGTGTGCAGTATTCTGCCTATTTGTGCTGATTCTGCCTGAATATGAATAACATCTGGACTCATATATTATGATCTGGAAAGGTTCCATGTAGATAAGAATATATTCATTTTCCTGTAACGTAGCTAAGGTAGTCTACTGACTGTTTTCACATGTCTCTTGGAGGTTGGCACTAATAGTTGTGCATGGTTCTTCCCTCAGTATTTCACAGAACAGCATGCTCTGGGGTCTCTCTTTACCAAACTGTAACCTGTACCTCTTTATGATGAAGGGCATCAGGGACCAACCATGAGTAGAGAGTTACCTTCAGATATTTTAAGAATTTGTAAGAGTTGTATCCCACAAAACCACTTTTTTTCCCCTAAGCAACAACTGCAGAGGTTTGGAATGTAGTTTGTGGCTTATATAATGTAAAACATAACTTTTCTCTACAGATCTTGGCTTCACTGGTCTGGGTTAGAGAGGAAGGTAAGCTGATGTGTAACCATGGAAGGGAACATGGATGAGAGTTGGGTGTATAAGAGGAAGATAGAACATCACTTCAAAGAAGCTGAGCAATTTCTGTCAAACAATTCATGACTCAAGTTTAGGGTTTCCACCTTTTCTCATATTTTTCACATAATCCATAGTAGGTTAGAAATGTATCCACTAATTCTTGAGCTTACAAATGGCGACTTTCCGATTCTCATGCCTTCTTTTGCTTTCTTTTCTGTATGTCAGTTTGCTTGTCCAAATTGATGTGGTTTTATTTTTCACTTTGTCCCATTATGTTATATTACATTTTCTTTTATTAAAAAAAAGAAATGTATCTATGTGTTCTGTAATTGATCTTCAACCACTTTGTAAAGTATTACAAAGGTTAACTACATTGAGCGGCAGAGAAAGAATTGAATCTGAAGTGTAAGCCCTGCGTAGATCTGAGCTGTCTCCATGTTCTGCTGATAGAAGGGTTGGGAATTGATTGTATGGTCACAGAAGTTTCATGATTCAGGTAAAATTTCTCAGGGGACATCAGCTGCTCTCCTCATCATGTTTTGAGAATACAGTCCCTCTGGTGTCTCATTTTATTTTCAGTGACAACTTAAGTGTTTGAAGGTATCATTAATGGCTTCTAATTAATTGTTTTGACTAGGAAATGTACTTCTTTGGCAAAACACAGGAGGGCGAGACAAATGTTTTGACAACATAATAGGGAAATTTCTTTGCAAAGAGTAGAAGATTAATTTATGAGCCTCAACAGAATTATTTTTTAGACTTTTGCTTGCCATTTTGCAGATACAAATGATGCTTTTCCTAGCCTAAAAATTTGGCAAATTTAGTTTGACTACAGCTGAATCTCTAGATGAAGCATTATGCGATTCTCCAATGAAGAGCTATGATCAGTGAACTAGGATTTATTTTCTGCATAAATTTCCATTTTTGAGTATACCAAGAGTTGCCAAAATATGGAGTGTCAGAATCTTTCATTCTTTTCTACACTGAGTATAACGTCCTTACTTCAGCTAAGCAAATTGAAAACACCTGTCTAGTTGACTACATCCATACCATATGCCTACTGTTCTTCCCTAGAGTGATTCTGCACATGTGTCCAAGAGGACATGTAGAAAAAAGTTCAGAAAAGCATTTTGAACAAACATTCAACAAGAAACATCTCAATTACCACATTTATATGATGTGAACAGTGGTCTTCCCACATGACTGAATCATGTGAAGCACAGAAGTAAGTGAACTATACCATGGTCACTGTGTGAAAACAAAAACTCATTTCAAGAAAAAAATACCCAAGTCACCAAAGACGACATACCATTTATAAACAGCTCAAACAATGGGAGGCTAAGCAATGCTATTCCGAAGAGTATAAAATAATAAACAAATGTATAAACTCAGAAACTTCAGACTGAAAGAGGCAACTACATAACAGAATAAATAAATAAACAAAAAACAAATAATGGAGTAAATTATGTTGTATCATACAGCAATCAAAGATCCACTGGAGCCCTTGAAGTTATTCCTACACATCCATTTAAGATGGATACATATATTGGGGACTAACTAGGTGTCTCCATGTAACACGTGTGTGTAATAAGATTATTCTATCAAAGAAATAAACGTAAAATAATTCTTCACCAGTTGTCCAACTATGATTCTTTTTACCTGTACCTGTGATCAGTGAGCTAGGAATGCAGTTATGAATTCTCCCTTCACCAACCCCCCCTTAACTTCCTAATCCTTCTCTAGACTATGCTTAATAATATTTCGTGGGTACAACAGGCAAAGCTCTAAAATAAGTGTATGAACCATCTTGGATAATGTAGCATTTACTACATTAAAGCAATGGATGCAGACTAGCTTTTCATCATTCTAACTGTACTAAAGAGCTATTCTTATCCTTTTATGTAGACCCATTATTGGGCAGAAACATGGGTACTAACAGCTACTCTAAAGGCTTTACAGGAATTGTACACATTACACAGGGTTTCCTAACAGAGTGTCTGATTACATGAGTTTCTGTCACTCATCACAGAGTCAAATATGGGGATTATTCTCGTTTCTTGCCTGGTTCCCAATGATTCCATTTACAGACAAGAAGACTTGAGTTTTTCTCATTTCTTTAATACAAGTACCATCCTAGCCAGGAATGTAGGTCAATTAGCAAAGTATTTTCAAGTTTAAGGACCTTAGTTCAGTCCCCAGAAGTCAGCTATGCACAGATATAGACACACACACACACACACACACACACACACACACACACACACACCAGAGAGAGAGAGAGACAGAGAGACAGAGAGACAGAGAGACAGAGAGACAGAGAAAGACACACAGAGACAGGGAGACAAAGAGACACAGATACAGGCAGATGAGAGAGGAGAAAGATAGAAACAGAAAGGGAGAGGGGGGGATTGGGATAGGGATAGGGATAGGGAGGAGGAAGAGGGAGAGGGAGAGGGAGAGGGAGAGGCAGGAGAGGGAGAGTGAGAGGGAGAGTGAGAGTGACAGGGAGAGGGAGGAG